TTGGACGATACTTCTCCTGAAGAGCAAAACCCATACTCCTTCGAGTCATTTGTCAAGCATCGGCCTGTGTTCAAGACTTTGGAGTCTGAACTTGTACACGGCGGACTGACGGGATTGACGCCACTCGACCGTGTTGATCCCGCTCAAGGCATGGCTGTAAGTGTCTTTTACCCTGCGGTGAATGCGGCTGAGTGAGTTCCAGCTACCCGACGAAGTCTCGAAGACAGTGGCTTCACGTCGGGGTGTTATCTTGTCTGCTCAAACGGCAAGTGTTTCATAACGGTCCCGACGATAGCTGACCCGGCGATAGATCCTCAAATCAGACTTCTTTTCTGGGTTGCAGAAGCAGACTTTACCAGAGTTAGTGATAATGCAGGCTCCCAGCCAGCCTGCTGATGTATACAGGCGTGTTGACGGGGCGGCAAACTATCGAAAGGTCCCGCTTGATTGTCTGCAGAAGTCTGATACGGATTCGCCAAATGGGAGTCAATACGTATACGGTACCGGCATGCCTAGTGCCGATGGGTGAGATCTTTTATTCCGAAAGGCACTCAGACATCTAGCTAACGAATTCAATAGGCTTCGAAACGCCCTCCAGAAAATGGAAGCTGGACCTGACGGACCTCGTCGGGTCATGTGGACGTCTCTACGAGAGGAGCCTGTGCTATATGTCAACGGCCGGCCTCATGTCTTACGCCTGGCTGACAAGCCATTAACAAACGTCGAGTAAGTCAGATATTCTCAGGTACTCGTCATGGCTGACAATCACAGAACTACTGGAGTCAAATCTTCCGTTGTGGAGCGCATGGAGGTCATGTTGAAAGACGATGTTCTGAAAGAGATCCGAGCCGGCGACTCACGTCTACTATTACATGATGAAGTAGAGACTAAGCCCGGCACCTTTGAGATCATCCCGATCTGGGAGACAGTCAAAGAGGGCGACGTCATGACCCCTCGAGAGCTTTACGAGGGCGTGATAAGGGAGAAATACCAAGTCGATTACATGCGAGTTGCTATTGTGAGTCCAAATGTAGTTCTCGTCCTCGTTCAAGTGGCTGACTTCGCAAGACGGACGAGCAAGCTCCTCTGCCAGCTGCTCTGCAGGTTATCGTCGGACGAGTAGTAGACGGTCTAAAAGCCAATGAGGACTTTGTGTAGGCCTAATGATCACGCGACAAGATTGCACTGCTGACATGGCCATAGTTTCAATTGTCAGATGGGCCGTGGCCGAACGACAACCGGCATGATCACAGCATCGCTCATTGTTACTATAGCCACGGAAGACATGGCTTTAGAGAGCGAGATGGAGATGGAAGAGGAGGAGTCTCAGCATACTGGTATCGAGGCTGAATCCGCCCAGTACCTAAATGGTAAGGATAGACCAATGCTTGGCTAATCGGCTTAGGGGAATACAAAACGATATTGCAGCTTGTAACAGTGCTGAGTCATGGAAAACGTGAGTCTAGTATCAGTCTTGTCAAGGATCATGCTGAATTTTGGACAGAAGCAAAACGTCTTACGGATCGGGCCACCAATCAAATGGAGGGCGTGCAAAACTTGCGCAAAGCTGTCTATGAGTAAGTACAGAATATTCGAGGTTCACGGCTTCTTCTCACGGACTACAGCTTCAAACTACGAGTCGACGCAGCAGACCCTGGGTCGTCCAAGTACACTGCGATCCTGCGCCAGGCTACCAACTACCTTTACCGATGTGAGTTCTGCGGGGTTACTGCGATGTGCTGGTGACTGATTGTCGTTTTTAGATGGTACATTGATCGTGTTGGCCAATTTCTTACTCGAGGCCAAAGAGGAGGGGGTGCCATTTGGCCAAGCTGACTTTCCAGCCTGGATGCAAAGACACAGCGAGATTCGTGCAATCCTGAGACGTAGCACGCTGAATTAACGCTCGTAATGATATTCATAGATGATATAATACAAATGATACTTATGCAAAGACCGGGTCTTCACCCGTTATATTGATTGGTATTTCCGCTCGGCTGCCATGTCCCGTATCCGCCCATATTCGAATTCATCATCTGCTGATACTGTGCTGCAAAGCGGGGATTGATAGCAGGCACTTGACCGCCTGTTGGCGGGGGAGGAACAAAAGATTGATGTTGTTGTGGTTGTGGTTGGTGTTGTTGTTGTCGTTGGAATGCATGTGTCGAAGGAGCTGAGGAATAATGCGGGGATGCAGATCCACTGTTCATTTGGAAGAAACCTGGTTGATGGAGTTGCTGTTGATGTTGGAATTGGCCATCTTGGGGGTATGATTGATAAGGCATACCCCCCTGAGGTGCCTGGTACGGTGTGGAAGAAGGGAGGTAAGGCGACATACCACCTTGAGATGGTGGATGCCAGTGTTGTTGGAGAACAGGTTGAAAGATTTGGTCTGGACTATATTGCGGGGCTCGTCGAGATGGATGATTGGGTTGAGGCGGTTGCCGATATTCACCCGACTGACGTCTATCGTGTTGATCACGACCTCTACCACCTCTACCACCTCTACCTCCTCTACCTCCTCTACCTCGCCCCGCACCGCGTGGTCGACCTTGATCACGTTGTCCTTGTCCTTGTCCCTGACCTTGTCCTTGTCCTTGTCCTTGTCCTTGTCCTTGTCCTTGTCCTTGTCCTGGGCTTACTGTTGAAGATGTTTCGACATTAAAAGATGGCTTGGTTGGTAGTCCTGGAACATCGTCGATATCGTATGGAGCTGGTCTTGGTCTTCCTCGTCCGCTAACCGTCGATCCAACGTCAGATGGAGCATATGTACTTTCTCTTTCTCTATCATCCCCATCTCCATACAGACTAGCTGTTTCGGATCCAGCATATTCTTCAGCTGGTGGCTGATAGTCGAAATGCGGTCTAGCAGGTAACGAAGGGTGGTTATTGTTATTGGTAGTTGTCGAATTACCTCGTTCAGACCACGGTGTATTACTTCCAGCGCGTTTATTCTTGTTCTTTTTCCGTCGTTTGGCATCGGCTTCAGCCTCGTCGTCACTCCATTCCTGCTCATCTTCACCTACTTCTTCGTCGTAGATGTTGGATGCGTCGGAACCTTTGAATCGTGGATCACGGACTGCGTGCATATTGACGAATGACCGATAAGAGGCGCTCAGAGGGTAGAAGAGCTTTGTGCCTGGAATGAGGTCGTCCGGAGTCGGATAAGGGTGTGGAGGAGGAGGCAGACGAATCTGATAGAAAGGCGAGGTGAGGGGTCCAAATGTCTCTGACACCTATCGAGATTTATCAGTCTCGAAGCGCGATTATGGGCAAGGCGAACATGATTATGAGTAATAGGGAGGTGGCGAAAGACTCACAGTACCTAGTACACGTCCATCTTCCCAGCAGAGCACACTGCCTTCCTCTAACCAGCCATCATCGCCGGCATCAGGTCGACTTTGCATTGCCCGCACAATGACAGTACCGGCAGAAGTAAACCTGGGCGGAGTAGTAGAAGCTCCATTCCCGTTCTGTCGTGTTCGCTTCGAAGGACTTGTTGTCGTTTCTTGGACACTGGTCGTAACACTGTGGTCCAGAGTCATCAAAGAGTTGATCCCATCGTCCTCCTTGGTATTCTCTTCATGCTGAAGAGTGCCTTCTTCTTCGGGTTCCTGCTTGACGACTTCAGCCTCTTGCTTGAGATCCACACCAGCGACCTGCACATCCTGTTGAAGGTCTCCTTCTTCTTCAGATTCCTGCTTGACCACTTGCTCTTCATCCTTCCCCTTGACTTCTAACTCATCTGTCTTGCTCTCATGGTTGACCTTGTTGTCATGCTCATTATCGCCAGTTTGCATCGCTGCACCTTCAGTCATACTCTCGGCCACCTTTGCCGCGCGTTCCTTTTCCAACCATGTCTCGAGCTTACGGTCCCTCATCCAACTGACCACATCCCCTGCCAAGCTCAAACCCTCACCATCCGGTAACTTGTTCACTGGTGGCTGAGGAACAGGTGGTAATGGCGCTTCGTGGGTCGATATGATAGGACCTGATATTCCCGCATCCTCATCTTCATCCATCATCACCATGCCCTCGAACCGAGGTGACCCAGCGACCGTAGAACCAAACTCAAATTCATCTCCTTGTCCATCACCCTCACCTTCACCATCAACAGACTGTGCCAGTCCCACTAAACGGTCTATACCACGTTTAAGCTCCTGATGCTTCTCCTCAGTCATAGGCTCATCATCCTCCTCCCCATCGGACTCCTCTTCACTCGAACTTTCCTCTTCGCTTGAACTCTCCTCCTCGCTACTTGACGAGCTGTCCGAGGTAGCTTCAGGGTCAGGTGCTTTGCCCTTTCCTTTCCCATTGCGTATACTCTCTTCGACAAGCCGGCGTTTCTCAGCTGCGGTCATGGCGATTGGCGGGAGTGAACCGACTACCTCATTCGCTGCTACCATCTCCATGATTAGGGATAGATCTTGAGGGATGCTGGGGTGCGGAGGGAGTTTGAACGATGGTCCGGCATTCTGAGTAGGCGCTGGTCGCGGCACAGGGACTGGCGCTGAGGGATAAGGCGAAGGTGGCACGGCAGTCAGTTGAGTCGAAGGAACAACCGGAGTGACTTCGAATGAAGTTGCGGTGAGGTGTGGTTCTGCAAATGCTTCGCCTGCAGAATTGGGCTCTGTCGAGTCGAGCAATGGCAGAGCCAGTTCAAGCTCCGTATCAGAGTCAACTTCAGTTTCCGACATCTTTTCAAAAGGCTAGTCAAGTGAAGAATGATCCATGTGCAAGACGATAGAGACGAGGTTCCGAAAAATCAAAGTCACGTGTTGCTGGTTGACATGAGCTTTTTGCGGGGAAGCGACTTTCAGTTCTTCTGTCTGATTGTCTGATGGTGCATGGCTACCATGATACCTTCGAGGTCCAGCCCAGATAGAACGCAGGAGATCACTAAGTGTGCAATGTGATGCATCATCCAAAGAATTCGAAGAAGGATAGGTGAGATTTCCGACTCGGTGGAGCAAAAAGATCTGCAACCGCAAAAAAAAAACTGAACCCCGCCCGACTTGAACGGACGACCCTCAGATAAAACCAAACTTGGAATCTGATGCTCTACCAAGCTGAGCTAGGGGTCCAATCGAAGGCATTGAATCATAAAAGCTTATATATGCCAATTTCCTACCGTTTTCCTCCCGTACATCCATCAATTTACTGCTACTTGTCGATGGCTACTGTGGGTATGGAGAATGATGAGAGATACGATGAGCTGATTGCCACTACCATGCTTGGACAGACACTGTCCAACTTCCAGTAGGATAACCAAAGACCAGGCAGTGAATACATCAAGACGTGACAAGAGGCTCGCTGGAGGCGATTTTGCTGTCTCCATGAGCCGTAAAACAATATCATACAGAACAATCGTCTCATTTCAGCCTCCTCTTTTTCTTGGGCTGGGAAGTGATGGGATTACTTCAACCTGCTGTGAAGCATTATCAGAAGCAGGAATGAGTTGGCCGATGTCCTCGCATGTTAGGCCTGGACCGAAGCCTTTGCGCCTAATATTGGGAACGCTCTCACGTGCTGAACAGCTGACTTCCAGCATGACTTTCGACCTTTCCCTCGCTTTACCTGTCCACTCAAAAGGCCATCTCCGGTCTCTGCACCTCCATTCTCCCTAACATGCCGCCCCCCACTTCATCCTTGAAGCCATCGGTGGGCAAAACAGCGCCGAAAGCCGCCCACGCCAACGGGAACAGCAACGGCAATGGCAATGGCACGGGTCCTCTCGCAGACGAAAAGAAGATCGCTGGCAAGCCCGACCAGTCCACCTACAACGCTGAGCAAGACGGCTACAACAAGGAGATTGCTGCCATCAAAGCGAAACTCGTGAGACCGCTCAAATTTCCGGCAGGCCTATTGTGTTTTTGTGCTGATCGATGGTTCTAGGACGCAGTTCGTTCCCGCATTTCACTCTCGCAAGCTCCTGCCGGGAATGATCGTCGGTCAGTCATCAAGAGCGAGATGGACGCCCTGCGGTCTGAGCAAGGAAATATCAAGTCGAGCCGCCAAAAGATCTTTGATGAGATGAAGCGGCTTCAGGAGGCTGTGCAAAAGAAGATCAAGGATGTACAAGCTTCAAGGGGCAAGCAGTCTTATCGAAACGTCGCAGAGATTGATGAGCGTATTTCGTGAGTGGTTTCAGTCCCGGTCTCAGAGCTATTCCACAGAAATCTTACACTAAGTTTAGAGATCTGGACAAGCAAGTTGAATCTGGTTCTATGAAGCTCGTCGACGAGAAAAAGGCATTGCAAGAGATTTCCAACCTCCGCCGTGCCCGCAAGACTCTGGAAGCAACTGGATCCGTTGATGATGCAATCGCTGCTGACAGAGCACGGATCGATGAGTTGCGGAAACAGCTCGATGATCCCGAGGCCCGTAAGGTCAGCGACAAGTTTGACGCCCTCAAGCAGGAGATGGACGGGCTGAGAGAAGAGGGCAATAAGGCGTACGAGGAGAGGAACAAGCTATTTGAGGAGAGGAATGCTCTTTCTGCTCAACTCGTAGGTGTCTTTTATACCGAAATCGATCCAGTAAGCTGACGATATAGGATGAACTGTACGGGAAGAAGCGGGAATCCGCCCTCAAGTACAGAGAAGAAAATGACCGGTCAGTTTGTTGGCGTTTGGCAAGTGTGAAAGTTGCTGACCAGTCAGGCATTGGGCCAAGGTCCAGGCAGACCGACAGGCTCGACAGGACCGATATAAGGCTGAGAAAGACAAGGAGGATGCTGTTCGACGAGAGGCCGAAATTGCCCAACTGCGCGAGGAAGCCAAGATGCCCGCTTACCGAGCCGAGATCGAGGACTGCGCCGTTCTTATCGGTTGGTTCAAGGGTAAATATGGCGGTGGTGAGATCCCAACAACCAATGCTGGCGGAAAAGCGCAGACGCAAGTTGCTGGTGTCAAAGAGCTCGAAGTCCGGAAAGTGGAGGGTGATTTCAAGGGGATGACGTTGAAGAAGAAGGACGAGGACGAGGAGCTTGGCGGATTCTTTGGAGGCAGTGGAAAGGGCAAGAAGAAAGGGAAGAAAGCGTCTACAAGTGGCACGGCTACTCCTCAAAGCGATTCGCCAGCCCCGTCGGGTGCTGTCAACTTGCCTATGAGTCTGCTTAGCGCTTTATTGTCGATGGGTATACCACCGCCCAATGGACAACAGGACATATCGAGGACAATCGAGGATCTCGAGACTAAAAAGGCGTGGTTCGAAGCCAATTCGGAACAAAAAACCAAGGCTGAGATTGAGCGCGTCGAAAAGCTGGTGAAAAAGCTACAGAAGAAGAACGCTATCCTCGCTGAGGATGACGAGCCTTCTGCTGAAGCTCTCGAAGACGCGGACGAGGTTGATGAGGATGGCGGCAGACACGAGCCGACACACAGTAAGTCTCTACTTGAACTACTATGACTGCGGCTGATCTCGTCAGCTGTCGCAATCTCGGGAGATGGTATCGGGAAAGATACGGTCGAGGATGATGGCCTGCAGGTGAGTTGAGGATTGAGTGTCATTGTTGCCACGCTGGATACTGGAGCCGGAGGACGCGACGAATTGAGGAATTTGATGTCAGGAAGACTCTGGTGCTGCGCACCGAGTTGAGGTGTGGATGATGGGATGATATGCCAAGTAATGATACATAGACACTAATTCATCATAGTTGCCGACCGATGCCTCCCCCAACGAGGAGGTCAAGCACGTCCTTTCTGCTCTCGAGGAGATCAAAGAGTCGGAAGATGATGCCTGATGTTCTGAATTTCTCGCCGTGGAATTTGTCTGATCCAACAAGTAATATATATCGCATGGGGACGTTTTTGAATGGCATGCATATCCTCTTGACCCGCTACTTTTGTGGGAGATGATCACAAGACTGACACAAAGCACAATGAATTTATCTATCTGTTGTCGGAATCAGGAAGACTAGTTTCCCACGGTAGCATTGAAATCGCGCGAAATGTCACTTTGGCCCAACTTTTCGATACCTTGAACACCTACCTGAGTTGAAGTCTTCTAACTACTTATCCAACATGTCACGGTCGACTCCCTCAGTCCTGCGCAATCTGGCATCATCATCCCGGCGGACATTCACGACGTCTTTACCCCGCGCTGCCGTGTCAGGCAACACGACATCGGTGGATCCACGAGTTCTTTCTGGGGTACCAGATTTCTTGCCAAAAGCCAATATAGATCGTGTATGTGACTGGCAAAGTGGATTATGGGAACGACTTCAAGATGAAGTACGAAGTGGGTCTCTGTTGTATATTATATCACCAGAAACTCGGCTGACTGTGTGTTTGTGTTGTGTTGCGTTTTTCAAGATAATCCAGGATTGGTAGATGTGAAGCAAAAATGGGATCGTTCAGGATTAGACATGACGCACCTTGTTTCTTTCACTGCACGAGAATCCAACTTGACATTGGCGTTTAACTATGGTAGTTTGTTATTGAACAACAGTTACTTCTTAGAAGGCCTCGTACGTATCATCGCGTTTCTCTTTACAATACCTCCTCTTCCTCCTCCTCCTCCTCCTCCTCCTCCTCCTCCTCCTCCTCCTCCTCCTCCTCCTCCTCCTCCTCCTCCTCCTCCTGCTGCTGCTCGCAAACTCTGAAGTTTCTCGGATACTCGATTGATCATGCTGATTTTGTTTTATAGCATGGAGATGAACCTCAAATCGTTCCTGAGATTTATAAAGATCTAGGAGAAAAAGTAGAGGCTTATGCGGAAGGTATGGTAGGACCTGGTTGGCTTTGGGTAAGTTGATTGCCTATCTTGATTCTCAAATCCCAAAGCCCAAAACCCAAATCCCAAAACCCAAATCCAAGACTCGGAGACAGAGACAGAGACAAAGTCAAGTTTCAAAGAGATTCTAGAAAAGAATGAGTGAAAGATGAAAGACAAGGAAAGATAAAGGATAAATACTGATGAATGATTTTCCATCTTAGCTCGTGAGATCAGGAGATAACAATGCCGATGTCGATATCGTACCTACTTTCGCAGCTGGGACTTTATTGATACATAATCGTGCTCAAAGAGGACGTGACGAATTACCCTTGTTCGCTACACCTCCCAATTCTGGCTCAACAACAACAACAACAACACCTTCTTCTTCTACTTCTTCTTCCAACGAAGCAGAAACACAAACAGGAACAACAGCACAGGTAGAAACATCCACATCTACTTCTACTTCTTCTCGACCTCGTTTCAGATCATCTTCCCAAAGTTCAACTTCTTATCCAGCTCCTTTGGCAGTTCTCAGTCTATTTGAACATGCGTATATAGGTGACAAGTATGGCGTCTGGGGAAGAAAAGAGTATGCTCGAAATTGGTGGAAAAATCTCGATTGGAAAAAAGTAGCTCAGAGAAGTGCTCTCATCGTTTAGTTCTACAGAGTATCTCTTCTCACCATGCATCATCCCTCCATTCCAAAGTTTGACTTCTGGCTCGCAAGTCTCTGTTGCAACAGAAGTGAACGGAACAAAATGGAATCCTTGTCAGTCGACGTGCATGAGAATCAGGGACACAGACGTTTGGATCAATGGTTTGCATAGATCCACATCCACTAGATAGACGGTTGAGCGTGCTATCTACAAACTCTGCCCCCATAACCACACCTCCACCCGCCAAACCTGCCTCCATGGCCACACCTATCCCTTTCCACCGCCCCTCCTCAGAACCTTACGGGTTGGACAATCGTGTGACGGCGATCTCCAGAATTTAGCCGGAGGCGAGATGTGCCGGATCTCACCAGAATGATAAAGAATAATCGGAATGAAGTGAAGGTGATGAACTGAGAAGGGGAGTATATTGTGTGTGGTGTGTGTGTGTGTGTGTGTGGGGGGGGGGGGGGGGGAGACGAAAAGATGGACAGCAATCTCAAAGACTGCGCATACAAATGAAGCGAACCAATACAACAAGAAGAACCGAAACACTACAACAACCAGAAAAGCTGACCCACCCGCGTATGATCAAAAATCGTCCATGTCGGGTTTGGGCAGACTTGCCGCGCTAGGCGAATTGTGGAACGTCGGACCAGCATACATTGATCCACCCTTTTCAGCTCCAAAACTCCCACTGAGCGCGGCAACCG